AACTTCATTAAAAATGAATGAGCAAAAAAAAAAAAAAAAAGCAGCCAAAATTTATAAAATAAAAATTGAAAAAGTTCTTTTGTTTTTCTTTTTTTATTTTTGCTGCTTTATTTTTATTTTTATTTTTATTTTTTTTTTGTCTTCACAAAATCTAACCGAATGTTGCCGTTTAACCACACACAGCACACACACACACACAGTTGTTACACAAATTTTGTTTCAAAACAAACACCATCACATCGACATTTGGGAGAAGGTTGGGGAAAAAAAAAAAACACTGAAGGATAAAAATAAAATTCTTATGTTTTTAGAAAAAAAAAAACTTTATTTTTAAAATTGTTGTTTCATATGTGATTATACAACTTATGACTAACAAAATTCATCCACTCCCTTTTCGCCTTTTTTTTTCCTCATTCTTTTCCCATTAATCATATGACATCACGAGACATCATCGGTTGTAGAAGCATTGGCTAAGATTTTTGCAATAAAGATGCATTTTTTTTTGCCACCGTAGACAAATATTACCAACAATAATCACAGTTCGTCTTATTGTAAGATCAACCGGGCACCCCTCTGTGGTACCCATCTATCGTTTGCGTCGGTTACAGATTATTGTTGAAGGATGTGAAAAAAAAAAAAAGAAAAAACAGTAACAGATAATGAACTGTAATCTGTCACCACGGCCATCACCTTTTAAATTATTTTTGAAAAAAAAAAAAAACACGAGCCCATATTTGCGCATCAACTATATCACTCTACTTTTCTTTTTTTTTTTTTTTTTCTTCTTTTCATCTGTTCAAAAAATACTCGTTTTTGCCCCGTCGACCGGCTCTACCATGACACTTGTCCAATGTTTGAATAGTTTGATTTTTGTATGGGCTGAATGGATGGCACCAGCAACCAAACAACAATCCACAGACAATCTCAGCCAACCAAATGAACCAAGGTGTAAAGCATCTTTAAAGCGATAGTTCCCTTCACAACTTTTGCAGCTACACCCATCATTTTCGGCTTAATAAAAACGTTTCCGTCATTGCACCATTTCCTCTAAACTTAGTAGACTGACATGTGTTGTTTCAACAGCTTTAAAATTTTTAAAAAACATATTACACTTCCTCCCCTACCCGTATCTCAGAATTTCCGACTAAAAATAAACTGTAATGTACACGAAAGAGGGCCACTGCAGGCCTTCATTTTCACATTCTTGCCATGTTTCAACGATTAGTCAAGAAGTTCAGCCAGTATACAACAGAAATTTGCTTTTACTGTAAACCTTCCACAGAAATCTGAGAAGTGGAAGGACAAAGGCAAACTGAAAAGACAAAGACCCAACACCCAACAGCGCAAAAGGAAAATTTCGAATAATCATGGACCACTCCAAATAAACAAACTGCAGCAATGCAATTCTTCTTTTTCGAATTTCAAACATTGAAGACTTGAAAAGCACCAACTGGCTCAAAGTGCATTTGCTGAACATGGAATTGACGACGCACATACGCTTTCGCCTGTTTCACATGCAAAAAAATGACCCACATATCTTCTTGAAAAAAAGAAAAAAACACATCTTCAAAAGTTGCTCTGCAAGCAATTCGAACGGCGTTGCGTTCCCTTTAGAGATAATTTCAGCTTTAAAATAAACAAATTTTAAATATCTCATTTAAAGCTGCACAAATACCCCTTTTGGAATTAACTAATGCAACAAACTGTCAGGAGCTGAAACAAGTTTAAAGCTGGTAGACTGTTTATAACGACACTTCATCTTCTTCGAATAAACAAGTTTTATTCACATCAGAAAAATAAAACAACAAGTATATAATGTCAGAGACATTCCAGAACTACTGTTTTAATTTTGTACATTAACAACTTATAACGGTAACTTAACCAGTCGAGTAACAATTACCAATCAGTTATATACAACTCATCAACTCCCCAGTCTTCAAAGGATCCATCTGGTAGATATCTAAAATTGTGAAATTATGACAAGTGAGACTGAAAAATGAAAACTAAACTGAAAAAGCACCATCACAAAAACAAAGTTGAACCTTTAAAGTACAAGAAGATAGCAAAAAAATTATGTCCATATATCCCTTCACACTTTTTTTTTCGCTAAACTATAAGCTTTTACAAAGATTTCTGCTTACCTGTTTTGCGCTGAAACCTAAACCTACCGGAAATCAACAATACGGTAATACCAAAACAAAAAATCCAAAACATCTCCAGTAGCTATTTTTAGATGGTAAATAACATTTTCTCAACTTGATACGAACCAAACCAGGAACTATTTCAAATTTTACACAGACTCAGAAAACTCGCTAGTGATATATTGACATATTTCCCAAAGAAAAAATTGACAATAAAATAAATGAAAGTTTCACAGAAAATAGAAATACATTCCCCTTTTACCCAACAAAGTTAAAACAAGAAATAGCAACGAGTAATTGTAAAGTTACTGAATAAAAAACTCTTTTTCACGTCTCAGCCCCTACAAATAAATACTTACTATTTTTGCAAACTATAGCAAAACAAACCTTCGAATAACGATTGGAATATTTCGTTCTTTCAGTTCCTTACGTGCTATTTCTAACGGATCTGTTTCACCTTCCAGTTCCACCATAACAGGAGCTCCCATAGCGATTTGCAGCGCTCTCGTCCCAAGAACTCTGGCTCTTTCATATTTAGTCATAAAAGGTGTGGTAACGCGCTCTGCAGAAGCTGTTTTCTCGCCATCCTTTTCATAAACGAATTTAATTTAGTTAGAAAAAACAATTAAGTAACAAATAATATACTAAAAAACTTATGAAATTGAAGGAAATGCCTACAGCAACCTCAAAGGTAATTCTTTGGTATCTTCCTCATTCAAAGCTCCCGCTTTTCTTCCACTAACATTAATCACCCCCCAAAAAAACCGAGAAAACAAGGTGTAATCTTTATTACAATTTAAAAAACCCCAAAAATTTTCAAACTTTAAGCTCCCAAAATATAGACTAGTCAACTGTCCACTATGACTGCCAAATTAATACCCATCAAAATGTAAAACATTTGCGATAAAGGCTATTAAAGTCTTATAAATTAAAAAAAAGCATAATCAAACTACTTAAACAGTTGAATATATCCTGTTGGCCACAAAAAAAAAATATATTTTGCATTAAATTTTAAATCAATTTTTCCACTGACACTAAGCAAAATGAAAAGAATCATTTATAGCATAGCTTTAAAATTTAATCATCTTTAGTTAAAAGACTTGGCTTCATAAAGTTTCTACAGTAATCCAAATATAGTATTTTTAAGTTCAAAATTCCATTTACCTCAACAACCTGGACCCTTTCTGCATCATCCTCAGGAGCTTCAAGATCTAAATCATCCATTTGCTCCTCCTCCCCATAATCATCGCCCTCCATTTCTCCCTCATAATCGTCGTCGTCCGCCATTGAAACAAAATAACAATATAATATCCCGCAAGTACTAAAGAGAACGCAAAGTCCCTAAAAGTATAACTTTGAACAACTAAAGTAAGTATCACTGCAGTTTACTGCTCGCATTGCAAGAAATAGTTTTTTGTCTGTACCTTTTTTCACTTCTGACTTGGGATTCATAAAAACGTTTGACTTATATATTAAGATTTCGAAAATATATACATATATAAAGCAAAAATAAATTTTGCCCAAATTTTAAGCTCAGGCCTATGCTTCCCCCATCTTTATAATCTCACAACAAGTCAATCCACATGACAACGTAATATAATCAATATATGCAAATGTCGTAAATGGTGAGTTTGAAAGCTCGTTCTAACCGGACTTTCCTTCTTATTTCTTAACAGAATTCTACTTGTCCTGTAACCTTTCGCTTCATAGTTCTTGCTTTCCAAGTTGATAAACTAAATTACCTATGCGTAACGCTCTGAAAACTTATGATTGCATAAAACGTTATTCCTCAAGATAAAGCGTAAAAACAAAAAAGCGACAAGAAATTCTAATAAAATACTTCCACAACAGCTCTCTCAGCTGCTCGCTCCTCTAATTTAAACCCTTTTTGGCTCCAACCACTCAAGAGATTTAAATGTACACTACAAAGAGAAAAGGAAGTCAACTTAATAACTGCATATGCTGTTATATACGAGACAATTAGAGATCACCTAGAAATCTATGCAAATATATATTTTTTACAGGGCTTTGACCAAAAATTTCTGAGCATGTCACAAAGCAGATCAATAAAATTTACAAAAACAGTAAAAAACTAAGGCAAAACTTTCGAGTTGCTGACCTCTGTGGTTGACTACTACACGCAGAAACCTTGTATTTGTTGTGAATTTTTCACACCTCTAGACCACAGATGGGAAAAAACCCCAGCTTTATTACATTATGGTGCCATTTGTAATTTGCTACGTATAAAATGCATGAAGAAAACGAGAGCGCTTTAACATAAACCTCCGAGAACCGAAGACAGTTTTTTGGGCTACAAGTAATGAGCACACTGAGGTCAAGATTATCACATAAAAAAGGTACGTAGTAAAAGAAAAAAGAATTTTTACTGATGAGTACATCTTTGATGGCCCTAAAAACAAACAATTCCTTCACACCGATTATTTAAATCAGACTGAAAAAATAATGATAAACAAAATATGAGGATCTAGCGTTTCAATCAATAATTGATGACACTAAACCACCTTTAGAACATCAACTTTCCAAAAATTATGCAAAAATCTCATCCGTAACTACTTCCAGTAATCGTGGAGCGAATAAAACGTCTATAAATAAACAGCGCAAGAACGAAATCAGACCGGACAAAATTTTCTGCAAAAAAAAAAAAGGTACTTTTCTAGTTGGTTGGTCAGTATTTTCAAGATAAACTTTAATTCCAAATCTTATTTCTAAATTTCTGTAATTTCTTATTAAGAATGTGGAAAAGCGATTGATATTCTAAAAAACGCACAAAATATCTTTTTTTACGGTACTACCAGGAGCAATTTTTTTGCCTTTTAACTAACTACAAGCATTTCAGAAGGGTGAAATATAACTGTGCAATAAAGTTCCAGTGGAAAGTTCCTGGAGTACTTTCTGACCACAACATTCAGATTCGCACAGTCAGACTGTTATCCTGACTCCCTCTTCACAGTCCCCGAAATCAAAAAATTTATGTTTCCCAGGTAAATAAACAGGGTGTTATCAACCACAGTCTGTCAGAAGTTGCATTTGTAACTGTTTTAAAGTGAAAAGGTTCTAAAAAAAACGAAAAAAAAAACTGCTGCTGTTTAACCAAATCAATCTCCCTTGTTTCTAGAAAAGAGCATTAAAACCACACAACAGTAAGTCACTTAAGCGAAAAATAGTATACGTTACGAATCCAAAGGCAGGCTTATATACTCAAAGGTTCACATTATCAACACTGGCACCCTGCCAATTCGAGCCTTTTCGAAATTGTTTTGCCGCACTTCCCTATTGTTATCGGGAGAGAAACCAGACTGTAATTATACCAACCGTAGCTTCACCCTCCCGGAGACTGCGTTTCTGGTAAATTCTAGTGTTCTGATGTCATGACGATTTCCACGTGTGTTCTCTAATGTTTGAGAATAATAGCGCTTTCTCCTTCTCATCAAGATCCAACTGACATTTGTCTTTGCAAACTCCAAAAATTGTCTCTGACTCTCTGAGAGGATTGAACAGTGTTCTTCTGGTTACTTATTCCAAGACTTAGAAGTCACGCAGCTGCTTCCTTCAGTTTCGAAACGCTTTCTGTGAAACAGCTGATTTCAACTGGATATCTATACCAGTCAGACATCTGTTTGATTCTGACCGACGGTGAACTCGTCGGTCTCTTCGGACCAAAGTTTGTTTTTCTCCTTTTTTCCCTACTCTTTTCGAGAACATACTAATTTCAGCTGTAGGAACTTATAATCGTAAAATCGTATAGTCATAAAATTGCGTCTGATTAGGGTCCTGCAACTGTAGAAAAAGTAAAGCTCATTTTCTGCAACAACCTGGCTGCCTGCGTGTCTCTCCTTTGTAGCTGTTTTACAAAAGGGCTGGTAACACTAGTTACCGCTCACCAAAAACTGACAGTGTGTCGCGGCTAACAAACAAATCCTTTGAAAATAAAGTGCAACTATTGGGACTGACCTTCTACTTCGCCCTATTGGGTCTTTGTTTCTCTGGCTTAACTTCATTGTGGACACAGTTAGCCCCTATGCTCTACAGTACCAAGCTGAAGCTCTTATATTAATCTTCAGATCTCAAATTTTAGGGTCCAAGATCTAGAAGAAGAGATCTTGAACCTACAGTTGACTTTGTACTTGATCTGAATCCTAGGCGCCATAATTTCTTCTGTGACTTGACGCTTAACAATGGACTCACACTAATCAATTACTTTATTTACCGGAAATTTATTAACAGTTATAAAGTGCTTACAAATTAATAAAAGAGAATACAAATTCAAGAATGATAAACGAAAGGAAAGAGAATACAATATTAAACATTTTAAGAAACATTAGAATCCAGAATATAAGGCACAATTAAAGCTGTCTTCAATAATCGACAAAGTATTGAAGACAAAATATTACAGACTTGGTGGACAGTGGAATGAACTGAATTCAGTTTTAGTCGATAATGATCATAAAAATGATGATGTAAATTGCATTGAGTTCTATCTTTTATACCTTTTAATTCTTAATCTTCCGTCTGACCAGATCTGCCGCTTCTCCCAGAGCTTCCTCTCGCGGAGCGTACAGTGATCGGGCTGATCCTTAAGGGCAATTTTAGCGCTCCTCCAAAAGCTTCTTCTTAGGGAGCCTACAGTGCCATCAAAGTATCGCCATTGACTTTCGCGCATGGTCGCTTAAGTATAGTTATAGGGTTCGGTTTTAAACTTGAATGAATTGATAGAACTCTTTCAAAGAGATAAGAGTTTAAAACGATTGAGAAAAACATGACAAATAAATATATTAGTGAAAACATTATACAAATATGTGCTTTAACGGTTTAATCACAAGTTTTGTGGCTTTCTTCTTGTTGACGTCTTTGAAAGAGTTGCCCCATTCGGGATCTTTTCACAAAAAAAAA